CATCAGTGTTTATACATAAAATTGATTAACATTAAATGTGGGGGGGGGGGGTGAGTGTCCCTCTGCGTCCCCCAATGCATCACCAATACAGTTTTATCCATAACCCTAGATATACAGTCTTTAACTGATTGCCATTCTTTGCATATTTGAGAATTTGATTCTATCATATGTCCTATAAACCAGAATTTGCTTTGAAAGAGAACTTTTTCAATTTCTCCTCTTTCAAAAAGATTTTGGGCTTTTTTATCTTTTACACAGTAACACACCATTACATTTATTATGCAGTTAACTAGGTAATTGTGCCATAAATTTAGACAGCTACATGTGCAAAATAATTATCATACAACACAAACAGCCAAGCAGCCACAGAGACGTTGCTTAAAAAATATAGTACACTTTTGTAGCTGGATTTCTATGAAGCTTTGATTTGAATATGTGGCATCTCACAGTGTTTGACCAGGTCCTCCAGCACTCCAGGGTAGACTGCTCTCTCCCCACTCCTTTCCTGCTCTCACCTCTCCACCCGCTTCCAGCATGTGACTCATGCTGAATTTTGTTGCCCCAGGGTGTGGCAGTAGTAGATGTCATCACTCACTGCCTTCTCCTCCCTTTTCCCCAACCAGCTGCTTCTATAAGGAACCATTAGCCCCTCTTCCCTAGGGAACTGGTCTGGTTGGGGAATTTGGAATTAAATCTGTAAGGATAGCTCTTGCTCCTAAAGCCATATGAAAAAAGGTAGTCCCTCTTCCATGTGAGAAGCAAAGTGTAAACAGACACTTTAAATCAGCAGTTCCCAATGCAGTGCATGTGGGTGCCGTGGCACCCTCTGAGGTTTACTCAGGTGCCCGTGCACATTTTCACAATCAGTAAAAATCATTATTCCAACAAAAAATGCTGTCACTGCTGATTGAACTCAGAACGGCAACACTTCAAAAACATTTTCATAGGCTGTACGCAACAGCCGCCAAAATGAGACTGTCAGTCTGACTGACACAGTGACGGAGTGGCACTTACAACTCCCTCCCCAAACGAAACTATGCACATGTGCATATCCAGGATTCTAAATTCTAAACTTTAATATTCATATTGGCACCTGCTACTTTTTCTTTTAAATTTGAATGTGCCCTTGGGCACACAAATGTTGGGAACCCATGCTCTAGATTACTTGGTTTGCTTACACACAACAGAAATCTGAGAGAGGGGGAGGGAATTTGTTTGGAAAGCTGCTGGTTGGGGTGGGTGGGGAGCAGTGGTACAAGAGTTGCACAAAAGCACTAGTGCAAGGGTTAGGGAAGGAACTCTTTCTCCCAACGGGAACTCAGCTCACTTCTCATTAGTATCACAACTGAAGGTATGAGAGGGGTTGATAGTAGGGCTGTGCGAAATTTTACCGGCTGTTTCAATTCAACACTGTTTTGACTCGCTTCAAGCTCGAAACAGCAACATAGAATTGAAATGAAAGGCTTCAAAACAGGCTCAAAACAAAATGAGGCTAGTCAAAACGTTTCGAGTTTTGAAGCAGCCAGCAGCGAGGTGGTGGGAGACGGGAGAACCAGGCTCTCCCTGGCTCCTGCCATGGGGCTGCAGAAAGCCGATCACAGCGCAGGGGAAGAGAACTGAGCCCGGACTTCCCATCCCCAGCCTGATCTAGCGCTGGTTTCTTCCCTCATCTGGCAGGCAGATAGGGAGCCCGCAGCCCCGATCTGCCTGCCAGATGAGAGAGGCTGTTTTGAGCTTCCTCATTATAGCTAATGGGTGAAACGTCGAAACGGCCTCACTGTTTCAACAGAGCAAAATGGAACAGATGTTTCAAATCGAAATGAAATTTAAAACAAAATGTTTTTCCATCAAAACCTCAAAACTCAAGTTGAAATGGAACACGGCCATTTTGCACAGTCCTAGTTGACAGCTCCTGCCAACAGCTCTCTAGCTCCCCTTGCTGATGAGTGCTGGCAGAGCAAGTTCCCAAGGCACCTTTTTTTTTTTCCTTCTTCTGGGTAGCATGCCCTCTGAATGTGATGCAGGGCATTTCCATCAGGCAACATGATGAGTGTGCCCGTGAGTTTCCATCAGGCAACGTTACTTGTTGCTTGATGGAAATAATATCTGCCAGAGGTCTTTAAGACCTATGTAGAAGGCATGGAAGTTTCTTTTCCAGAGGCAGAATATATTATTATTTGGTAATGGAGAAAAGATTATTTGGTAATAATTGAAGTCACATGGAGACCAAGGTTTTAAGTTTGAAGATTTGCAAGCATCCTAGGGTCTTTTTGCCCAACCTCTGTAAATGCCAGCTTAGTTATCCATGCTTCACTCATCACCATAGTATCCATTTCCTGTAGATTTAAAATTATTCTGCACACACAGTTTGTCTAAATGACAGTCAGAGTGGCAACAACCTTAGGAAATTCCCATAGTCCTGATTAACTTGGTGTTGCTGCAGCTTCATTTTAGTGCTACGTTTTCATGTAGAAGGAACATTTGTTGGTACAATATGTAGAGAACTCCCACAACTGCGGTGAAGCATCGATTTCCTTTTAACCCCTAAAAACTAAGCCACAGTTCCTCTAGCATTTAACCCATTTAAATAAGAAACTTAATTATGGGGTAGGGTAAGAAGGGAATATGCTATGTCCATCTAGGAACAGATGTTTCGTGTGTCTTTGAATAAGTTGTGCCTGTATCTATCCCAGACCAAAAATATCCCAGGATAGGCATATACATGCATCACCCTTCTAATCAGGGATTAGCGATCATTTGAGTACAGTGTTGTGTTTCTGCCATTGATTCAATGATGAAATTTTGGGGTAACCATACACATACAGATGTACTTTGTGATATCCCAGGGCAGTGTTTCCCAACCTTTTCCAGCCCAAGGCATGCTTACGTTAATAAAAATTTTCCACAGCATGCCTGTTAAGGCATTCCCCATCCTCATACCTATTGTAGCTCATTGCCATGGCAAAATTCCATGGCACGCATGTTCATTTCTGCCGCAGCGCACTGGTTGGGAAACATTGTCCTGGGGTAAAATCTTGGTACCTCTTAACTGGGAAACGTTTTTAGGGTTTATCCTGGGACAGTGGACATGGATGTCTTTACTATTGCAGTTTGGTCCAAGATAAAAATGGCTTATCCCAGGAGAAATGTGATATCTGTTTGCAGCCTATCTAATATAAATCAGGTTTTAAAACCTTCAGTTTCAACACTGGAAAATTTAAAACTTAAATTTTGTTTCTCAGCATTATTCCGGACACTGTTTTGATACAACATCATAAAGGACTATCGGTTATCCTGAAAATAACACTATTTAAATATTTATTTTGACCATAAAACTATTTTGGCAAACAAATATGAGGAAAATGAAGTCAGTCCATCTTAACACTAGTCAACTTAGAAAGTGTCTCTGAGTAGCATAATATACATAGACACTGATGTTTATTGCACCTACAATGTTAAGGAATATGTCCATTTATTCCTTTTCAATAGAGCCTCCCCTGGACCATTCTGATCTGGTTGCAGAGTTACTGAAGGAACTATCAAACCATAACGAGAGAGTTGAAGAAAGAAAGGCTGCCCTCTATGAGCTTATGAAATTGACTCAAGAAGAGTCCTTTGGTGTTTGGGATGAGCACTTCAAAACAATACTACTCCTGTTACTTGAAACACTTGGGGACAAAGAGGTAAGCTCAGACAAACCCAACTAAGAAAAAGTTGACAACGTACAGATATTGCTTTTGATGCTAGGGACCATTTTTCAGTAATCTGTTCAATTGTTTGATTTGTATTGGCTTTAACATGTGCCTCTGTGAAGGAGATTAGACAATAAATGTTGCTAGAAATAACTTTTTATGACAGTAGGCAAATTATAAGTAAACAAGCAAAATTTAAAATTTAGAATAATCTAAATGTCCCAAACAGTGAAAAGCTTACCCTTGCTAAAACTCAGTAAGCAGCCCTCCACCTGAAATAGTTGCCTGCCCCTGGCTTGGACACACACATATGGAATGGGAGTCAGTATGTCTAGCTATAGGGAAAGCCTCCAATAAACAAAAAATAGCATAATAACTGTTGTTTTCAGATACCAATTAAAAAGATATTAAATATAAATTAATTAAAATTATGAATTGTATATTCAAATGGCACTCGTGCTGCATTTGGCTTGCTTTGTTTCAGCCAGTGTTTGTGGTGATTGATGGTATATAGTGGGTATTATACACACAAGTAGAAAACTGTTACCTTCTTGATCTTTTTTGTATTCTAAATCAGGGCTGTCCACTTGAGTGTATTTGGGGGGCCACAGGCAGTCCCGAGTCATATATCACATTGGCTACAGTCTCTGGGGTTTCTCTCTTGCAAATCCCCCTCTTTCCCGTGGTCTCCTGCTGAGTGGGCAACACTTAATAGCACACATCTGTGGGTTCTTGTCTGCCACAGCAGAAGAAGAGGCTACCACTTATATAGGCCTCCAGCTGGATAGCTGGGTTTTTAAATGGATGAAAAAGTTAAGTTTGTTTAGAATAATGAAATATTAAGAACGGTGCGTGTATACATCTTTCATTCCTTTTTGGAAGGGAGATTTTTTTTCCCTAGCTTTCCAGAGGGACGTAAAAATTGCCCGTGGCACAAAACTTACTAGCTCATTGGCACTCTCCAAAGTCTAAAATCCTAAAAGCAAAACAATGCTATTTATAGAAAGACATTTAGAAGAGATTGTTGAGATTTCTAAAATGCAGTAGTTAGATTTGTCAAAACTACATGCATTCCTTGTAATCGGACCTGAAGCTAAAGCTCGTGGCTATTTGGTGGTAAAAATTCAAAAATGGTAACAGAGACACACTTTTGTAAATCCCACAACACTGTGAATTTCAATATTTTGTAAAATAAATGTTATAAATAATCCAATAGGGTGGCTTTTCATATTATTGCCACGTGCTAGGATTAACTTGTTTGCATCTTTTTGATTTGTAGACAATGCTGATAGCCCAAATGTATGTCAATAAGCTCTTTGATTCATTTTATATGGAATTGAGGGGTAGGGAAAAGAATGGGTTGCCTTAAAGATTATTTTGCTTATTCCATTTACAGAAAGATTGGGCTCATATTGTATAACATGTGGGGTTACAGTGTAACTTGCCTTATGTGTTCTGTTTCCAACTGCCAAGCTAATGTTAAAGAGCGATCATCTAACTAAAGAGAAATAACCTAATTATTTAAAACGTTTATCTTTTAGCATGCAATCAGAGCTTTAGCACTGAAAGTTTTAAGAGAAATTCTAAGGAACCAACCAGCAAGATTTAAAAATTATGCCGAGCTTACAATCATGAAGACTCTAGAAGCTCATAAGGATCCTCATAAGGAGGTTGGTTAGTTCTGTTTAAAGATGTGACAGATTGCAAATCAAATGTACTGCTTAAAGCATGTGCTTGATAAATTAGTTTGCCACCAAGTGAGTAATTGGTCTTATAGTTTAGGATTTTTGCCCTGATATTGTCCCTTAATAATGCAGGTAAAGTCAATTATATATGAGCCTCCCGTGATTCTCTAGGTGCTACTGGTGGGACTGTTTTCCCATCTTTAACACTTTGGCTACTTAGACTGAAGGTCTGGGGAAGGGAAGTTATTTTCAGGGAGCTCTGTAGTTCTACTGGACTTAGGCTGGTAGGAGACAAAAGTGAACCTGACAAGGGATCAGAGCTCTATCTCATGCAGTTCCTTAACCAAGTTGTGCCAGTAGTTTGAGAGTTCATTTCTCATATTATTTTAGCAGCAGTTGAGAGAGAAGGAGTAAAGAATGATATGCCTGATGGGACTAATCTGGCAGAGGGGAGCAGGCTTTGGAAAGAAGAAAAACAATAAGGGAAATGAGGATATTGGAAATGTAAGACAAAGGAAAGGGAAATCACAGACAGAAAAAATCCCAGCTTATGGAAAACATGCACACAAAGGGTTAAACAGAAAATGTAAACAGTGCCCACCAAAACACTAAGCAGTTCATTACTGAGGTTGGTAGGCAGAAAAACTCAGAAAACCTTTTCTGTAATTTTTAGTTAAATTTTCACTCATGTTTTCTTTCCTTTTTTTATACTCTGTGAAGCTGATTGCCAGAGCTCAAGTTTTGGAAACTTGATTGCAACCTCTCCATTTTCTTGTCATCTCCTACTAATCTCTTGATTAATTCCTTACTTTTTCCTCCACCATTTATGTCAGATTTATTGTAGTATCTTCTCCATTCCATTCATTCTTCCAGTCCCTTGCTTTCATTAAATGAAGAAATGAAACAAAGGGGACAGAGCTGAGGAAGAAATCTCACCCTCCTGAATCCATGCTGTTCCACACTACCATCATCAGAAGTGGCAGGATTACTTCCTGCTTCCCTTTGTGACACTAGAAACAGACACGGCAACTGGAAGTGGAATGTGTGTTTAGCCCCCCAGAATCAGCCAGAAAAGAAATGCAGGCAGTTCTAGAGTATGCATCACAAGTAGCACCAGAGAACAGCTCCCCTGTATATTGGCAGCCTAGCTGAGTGCACTGCCAGCCAGCAGGACACAGTTGCAGAAGCATGCAATGTGGGGGAAAAACCCTGTCCAGTATTGCTATTTGTAACTTGATTACTCATTTGCTAGCTTTCAACTCCTAATTTCCTTACTAAACCTTTTATTAATTCAAGATATTAGTGCTTATTTTTAATTTTTTTTCTAGATGTATGCAAATGAGGCTTACTTTTAGAAGTAAAACTGTACTTTTGTTAAAAAAAAAAAAAAAAAAAAAAAAATTAAACCAAAAAAAAAATCTGCCTCCCTAATCAAAAGGGCCTGCAAAGAAGTAATGAACTAGAGCAGGGAAATCTCAGTCGAAACTGAAGAAACAACTTAGAGCATTGTGCATGTGTTGGGGTTTTATTTTGGGGGGTTTTTCATAGTTTCATAGTTTCTAGGGTCGGAAGGGACCTGAGCAGATCATCTAGTCCGCCCCCCTGCCATGGCAGGAAGACCACTGGGGTCAAATGACCCCAATAAGGTGGTCATCCAACCTCCTCTTAAAAACCCCCAGGGTGGGAGCCTGCACCACCTCACATGGAAGCTGGTTCCAGACCCTAGCCGCCCTGACCGTGAAGTAGCGCCTCCTGATGTCCAACTTAAACCT